CCTCTAAATGTTACAAAGGCCCCCAAACCTATCAACAGCCACTGCCCTTGAAAAACCCGACGGAAACCCAAACCCAGACCCTCTCCGATTGCCACAGGCCGTGCACTGTGGCCTCCGACCGATCCATGATGCTTCTGAGAGACCTGATACTGCTGGGGGTCACGGGCTTCCGGGGTGGCTTGGTCTATCGGGCAATTTAGAACATACCGGCTTTTCTGTGGACACTAATAGAAGGGTTCCTTTACGGGAATAAAGCTAGCAGCCGGGTCCCTCAGGTTAAGATAGTATAAACACAGGTAAGCCAGGAAGGTCTTGGAGTGATTTTTGGGTTTGTGCTGGGTTTTTATACGCTTCTCTTAGGTTTTGGGTGTTTATTACGCTTTTTTGTACGCTTTTTTAGGTTTTGGGTGGTTTTTCGCTGTTTTTGGCAGGTTTAGAGGCAAAGGGGCACCGGAACCCGTGACAAACACGGGATTTACCCATAGCAAACCCATGATTCGGGAGCCAGACCCGTGATTTCGAGGCTGCAAAACCCGGTTCTAGCCTATCCTAGTTGAAACCCCGGTTTTGGGCAACCCGTGGCCAACCCGTGATTTACCCATGGCAGACCCATGATTTACGCGTGATCCGGTCATGGGTAAAACCCGGTTTTGAGGTAGTGTCTCCTTAACATAATTTTTCAGGATTTGTGGCCTTTGAACCTGACTTTTTATAGTTTAGAGCCTTNNTTTCTCATTTCACCAAGCAGCTGTGCTGCTGGCCGCAGAAGGATTCCAGATCGCACGAAGGCTGAAAACGCAGCCGATTTGCCTAAGTGCCACAAGTCCAATCATTCTTCGGAGATGCATTGTCTGTGTGCACAACTCATTGAATGCTCACTGTCCAAGGTTTGTTTTGCTGCCCTAGTGGTAGTTCCTAGGTGGCTTGAGAGAAGCTATGGACAAGCTTTGGAGCTGTGGTTCGTTTGAATCCAAAATGGATTCAAACCAGGAAAGCATCCAAGATATGATGAAAGAACTCCAGGACCTCGGGTTACTCGCTACATAGGCTGCTTGCTTCGGCCTGGTTCCAAATTCGCACAGGAGCTGCAGCTTTGCCTGGATTCTCATGTCCTTTGGGCCGCACTAAACATAGCAAGTTAGTGTGAGTTAATCGCAACGATCAAGACTGCTCTGTCTAAAGAGGGATTTACCTATATAGACAGGGTTCCTGTCCTATATAAGGTTCCAGCATCCCAGCCTCCGTCCTCGGAGACGCCGGTTCCGGCTGCAGTGATTCCGGAGCAGGAGGCAGAGGAAGCCACATTGCCAGCAATGTCCTGAGTTCACAACACGCTGCAGATCGAAGCCTCATGTTGTATAGGTTTGTTTTTTGTTACCCTTCGATGCCTCTGTGCCTCAGGCTTCTTGGTCGGATGTGAAGGATGCAGGGCTTTGCCGGGAAGCTGAGCAGCCTGAGCCTCCTACTGATCCTACTGGCAAGCCTGAAGCTCCCGATGCAGCCCAGGCACCCGTCTCATTCAATGCCAATGCAGAACCTGAGTTGCTCTGTAGCTCCGAACTTCCCCACAGGTGGTGGAATCGAAAGATGCCGATGATGAGATGGAGGATGCTTCTTGTCTTGATTTCAGTGTCATTCCTTTAAGATCTTTCGGGCCACTACCCAAGGTTTCCCAAGCCGAGCTGTTCCAGTTCTTTTCCCAGATGATGACTGGTTCTTTGCCCGCCGATGATGAATATATGAGCTGTGACCAGCAGGGCAAGCCGAAGAGAGAGTACACCCGGCAGGCTTGGCATTGCTTGTCATATAAACAGGAACACATGCGATATTTCGTGATTGCTATTGTTATTTTTTTTCTCTCTCTTTCTCTCTGTCTCATTCTCACTCTATATATGCCTCTCTTCCAGGAGAAGCTCTTACGGGCAGCAAAGGCCCGGATAGACCGAATGTGCAAAGCCAAATCCAAACGCAAAGACCTCGAAGCTCCGGCTTGGCTGGTCAATGAGTGGACCACAGGGAATAAATCTGGGATTGCCAGGGTTCTACAGGAAGAGAACTTTGACAAGGTGTTTCGTCTGCACTATTCAATCTTGTCGGCAAACCCAGACCCTATACAGTTGAAGCTAAATTCTGAAAATGCCTAGGAGAAGTTCTTCGCCCGCATGCACGTTGTGATTACCCGGAAGAACTCCGTGAAACTCCTCGTCGAGGAACAATGGTGTTCCAGGCAGGAGATGGTCGACGACCTTGGTTGGTCAGAGATTCCGGCCTCAATCTTTCTTCATGATTATAGGAATTTTTGGGATTTTGGAGCTGCCAGGGTTTTTGGATTTGAGAAATCGATGCATGTGAGATTCGCTGCTTGAAAGCCCAGTACTTGAACAAAATATGAAACCTCAAACTATCCCTAAACCCTATATATACTATAGGCCCTATACCAAAAATCCCAGCCTTTGAACCCTATAAACCTTAAGAGAAAGTCACCTCGGCATCTGCTATCCCAGGATCAAAATCACTGGGGCCATT